ACATCCCAACTTCCACTTACAACAGGCAAGAAATCAAGAGAAACAGAATGGTGTGGAGAGAGATTTTTTTTTTCCTTCCAGACCCCTAAAGAGCATCAGATTTGCAATTTAAAAGAGAGTTAGCAGCACAATAGATGACAGATTTGTGCAATAGGGTCAAGCGGCCTGGTAAACAAACAGCACCCTCTTACAAATGTATGGGCAGACAGGGAAATGGGTAATTTCTAATATGAGCTGTGAGAAATTTGAATACATCTCCTCCACTCCATCAGACACACAACATTTGCCTACCATGGTCAGATTTTTTCTTTTTTTTTTTTTCTTTTTTTTTTTCGCTACCCTTCTAACTTATATTTATGAAGCCCAAAGCAGCGACTAGCAGTAAACAAATACAAGAAGAATAAAGCTCTTGATCCAATGAATTTTAAGAACGAAGAAAGTGTAAACTGCTTTAATAAAGAGAAAGACTGCTCCGGAATGACATAGCACATCTTTCAGCATTCCCAGAATGGAAATAATTTTGTCTCAGTCAAAGTATATTGACAAGGCTGTAAATCTTTGATGCAGATATTTGGTCTTTCAGTTAAAACTTAGCCCTACATATAAGTTACAATTTATTTATTACTCTTTATATTCCCAAAGCATTTGTAAGAAAATTAATGCATCAAAGTATACTATTCTGGCCTTTGTGCAGGCAGCCGAACCAGAGGCCTTTAGTGTCGGCTGGAGGAGCACGAAGCTCTTCCTCACGTGTTTTGGAACAAGTCTTTGCTGCTGCTCAAGGGGCTCCTGTCGGCTTTCTTGGCCCCATGGCCAAGTCCTGACTACAGGACTGGTACCGTCTGCTTTGCAGTACTGCTGCAGCCCCCAAAAAGCTGCAGTTCTGACTAACGGTGCTCGCACAGAGTTGCAGGTAGATATAAACCCTGCCTCAAAACCTTGCAGTTTGAGATGCAATGAGGTGCATCTTCCAGGCCCAACAGTGAGCAGATGTGGACCCTGCCGACATAGACACTTTAGCAAGTGCTGCTTCTTGCTCACGTGAGCAGCCTGCCCTGTGCCACTGGTCTACTTTGAGGAACGAAGCAAAGCTGCACTTCAGCCTTATCAGGTCAGGGACCTCCTTTAATATTTCCACGAATTGTTCCTAGCCGGCTATTTGGTGTGAAAGCAGTGCTAATTGGGCCAAGGATTTTTCAGGCAATCCCGGGTTGTCAGCATGGCTTGGGCTTCCATTTGGAAAGGACGAGGAGGCTCGGGAGCCCTTAGCGAAACTGCACTCGGCTCCCAGCAGCGGCAGGGCTTGGGTTCCTTGGAGGTACCTGCCTGCTCCAGCAGGTCTCATGCCATAGCAAGCTGTGTCTTTAGTTTTTCCAGAAAAAAACTAAGCTGGGTTTATCATCAAGGAGCTGCCATGGGGGGCAGAGCAGGCAGATCCCCAGGAAGGGTGAGGAAAAAATAAAATAAATTAACCGACAGAGAATATTTCATGGAAACGCTTTGTCTAAGACTCCGCCATCAGGAAACTCTCATCCAAGTTCATTCTCTCAGAAGTGGGGACTAGTTTTTACCCTCGAGTTACTCTTTTTTTTTAGTAAATATGTTTTGTAAAAGTTACAACGCATGCAATGGCATTTTTACAGTCTTAAAACAACTTGATTATAACAATGAGCTTATGCAAGAACGCCCGGCACTCCACCAGGGAGTTATTTTCTGCCATCGAATAACATGTAACAAATGAATTTTTCAGACATGGAAAAACACCCACCAACTTTAATGAGACTGCAAGGTCAACCTCGCATAGGTGTTGTGGGGCCCTATGAGAAGATGCTGACTTCTCTGCAAGAGGAGGGAAGTAGCAGAGGCTTCACGTATTGCTACCAGCTAGAAAAGAGAAGGAAGCGGCCGCTCGCTGCAAAAGTGCCGCATTAGGGAGAGGAGATATTTAACCACACTGTATTTCAGTGACCAGCACCAGGCAGGCACGGACAAGGGAAAAGAGTGTGGGGCCAAATCTGCATAGGGGACGTTGGAAGAAAAATCGACCAAAAGACGTCTCTGGGGTGGAGGGGTAGTGCTGGCGGCGCCCAGGCCGCGTGCGCAAACAGCTCAGGCAAAGTCAAACTGCAAGGAGGTGGGGAGGAAAAAAGGGGCTCCCAATTTCAACTCTGAACACATGTCCAGCAAAACCAAAAAAGGCCTTTTTGTCATTTTACTGGGGAAGTTATCGCAGGGGGTGGGAGCAGTGACATTTATTGCTAGAAAGACTATAATTGACTTTATTAATTTCGGTGAGACCTCTTCTGGGCTGCAGCGTCTAAATGCAAACCAGCGGCACTCCGTTAAGAATCACTCTCTATAAATAATTGAAAACTGGTGTGACAAGACCTTGCTGCTAATTACACACACAGAAATGTGTTATTTTGGGCTTGTTAAATGCAAGAAAGATAAATTTAAGCCCTAAAATAGCTGCAGGTTCAACCTAGATTTTGAGACACAAAATTCATCTTCTCATCACTAATTAACTGGAAGCAGGGTATTTCTTACCTGCACATTATTTCATGCGTGAGCAGAACTCTGCACATTTCTGGGTTCTTGTCTTGGCCTTCATATACTATCGCCTAGAAACAAAAACACATTTTTAGCCGTGCATCAAGTTGAGTTTGGAAAGAATAAAACAAAAATGCATCAGAGTCCCGGCGTGCTGAGCCCGAGCGGCGAGCTACGACCCGGCGCCTTCGCAGCCGAACCCGTTCTGAAATTTGCAGTTGGAAAACAACACGAGCTGAGTGCAGCTAAACTCCCTCCTCTCTGCTGCACATCCCTCAAGCAGTGTGTAGGATGGGCTTTTTTTAGTAGTCAAGACAACCACAATTTTCTTTTCAATTCAGAATAAAATATAAACCTAATAGCATTAAAAAAAAAAAAAAAAGGCTTGGCACAATTTGGGTTCTATTCATTAAAAAGAAAAAAAAAAAAGGAAAGAAAGCGTGAGCTCATGTATTTTTAATTCGAAAGCTGTGCACAGCACAGCCCAGGCATTTTACTGGGAGCTCCAGAAAGAGCTCGGCCCTGATTCTCCGCATGAACCCAGTGATCCACCGATGTCTGCAGAGCAGCCCCGGAGTTGGAGCGATATAAATAAGTAAGCGGCAGCCCTGCGAGTGCAAGGGACACCAAAGCAAACGGAGCACCAAACGGCTGGAGCTCCGCGGCTCGGGGCGGCGGGGAAGCCCTCCGAGCTGCGCACGGACACGGCGGCGGTCGCGTTTCACGCAGGGCCTCCCTGCGGCCCGGCCGCGGCGCAGACGGGATCGGCGCTTCGTGCACACCCCGGTCATGGGAGCGGATCCCTCCGAGCGCTACCAGGGCTGTTTGCAGCCACTCCAGCCGCTTGTCCCTGCCTTCCACCCGAGGAAACACGGCCGGGAGGGCGATACCTGCCCTAGTGCCACCCCAGCACGGCCCCTCGCAGCACCTCTCAGTAGCGCTGGGACCTGGTGCAGAGCTGGGACTCAGCGGGGAGCGGTGGGCAGGGCCCTCCCCGTAGCCTCAGCTCTGCCCC